TATCGGAATCTATGGGACACAATGAAAGCAGTCTTATGAGGGAAATTCACAGCAGTGAATACTCATATTAGGAAAACAGAACGAGCCCAATTAAACAACCTGATGCTGAACCTCAAGCTTCTAGAAAAAGAAGACCCAAAGCTCATACAAGAGATAAAATGATAAAGATCAGAGCAGAAATCAATGCAGTGGAGACTAAGAGAATGATAAAAAAGCAATCAATGAAGCCAAGAGTTGGTTCTTTGAAAGAATAAACAAATTTCACAAAACCTTAGCCAACCTTATCAGAAAAAGGAAAGAAAAGGCCCAAATCCATGCAATTAGGAATGAAAAGGATTAAATTACAATGGTCCCAGCAGAAATCCAGAGGATCATCAATACCTACTTCAAGAAACTATATGCCAATAAGGTGAAAAACAGAAGAAATGGACAGATTCCTAGATACGTATGAACTGCCAAAGTTGAATGAAGAAGACCTAAAAAGTCTAAACAACCCAATATCAACCAATGTAATTGAAAACGTAATTAAAACTTACCAAGTAAGGAAAGCCTGGGTCCTGATGGCTTCACTGCTGAATTCTGCAAGACATTTAGAGAGGAACTACTGCCACTACTGTTTCAACTCTTCAATGAAATTGAAAAGGAAGCAATACCCCCAAATTCATTCCTGGAAGCAAGCATCACCTTGATCCCCAAAAGAGAAAAAGACCCAACTGTAAAAGAGAACTATAGGCCCATCTCACTAATGAACATAGATGCAAAAATCCTTAATAAGATACTGGCAAATAGAATGCAGAAGATCATAAACAAGATCATACACCCTGGCCAAGTGGGATTCATTCCAGGGATGCAGGGATGGTTCAACATACACAAGTTAATAAATGTAATATGCTATATCAATAGAGCCAAGGACAAAAACCATATGATCATTTCAATAGATGCAGAAAAAGCATATGACAAAATCCAATACACATTTATGATTAAAAACCCTATAAAAAATTGGAATAGATGGTTTCTACCTCAATCTGATAAAAGCCATCTATGAAAAACCAACAGCCAATATCATACTAAATGGTCAAA